AAAGTGAAAAAAATTGTTTACACGGTAAAAATAGTTTATGGTAACTAACTATGGACGGTATTACTCCATCTTATTCTATGATGTGACAGGATTAGGGGAAAATGGACAAAAGTGATCCAACCTCAATTTCATAATTGGATTCAACAAAGTTAGGATGACGGCTATTGATAGGAAAAGGATTGGTAAGAAGACAATTAGAAAATGAGAAGAACCACATTCTTTAAGGAATATCTCTCAAAATGGATGGGATCCTTACTTGAAAAAAAAATTTAATTGCTCATCTAGCCCTAAAAAGTTAAAATAAATGCCATTTTGCCGTTAACCAAGTTTGATTCAAAATATTTCCAAATCAATTAATTTTGATATTAGTGTAGTAATAAAAAAAATATTTTGCAATACGTATGTAGAAAGTAATCAAAATGTCTACTCCGTATCGGATAAGATGTTTTATGATCATATTATTTTGTTAATCAGTAAAAAATACATAAAGAAAGATAATAAAGTTTGACTTATATATAAAAAATTGAAGACATAGTGAGTATAATATCAATCTATCTAATAATGACTGGAATTTAATATCTGGTACTTACAAAGAACTCATGCTTCACATTAAGTATATTGTCAAAATTCATATTATTTTCCCTTTTCAATAACATCTGATAATAACCAATTAAGTTGGACTCATTGGGAAACTTCTTTTCTGACTTGAATGGTAGGAAGCACACTCTCCAAAATTCATGAAGAAGTTCACCAAGATTTGAGTCTCATCAGGGACAATTTTATTGACTTTTTGTGTGTTATTAGGTTGAAAAGAGCATGAACAAATATTACATTGTAAACGAATTTATAGCATTAAAAAAAGTTACATTCATATGAAATGATTTAGGAAGAGAACTAGACCACAACATTAATAAACATAAATAATACGGGCGGTTCCCATGTCATTTCTAAGCAATGTCATGGGATGACACGGGAGCCGTACGATGCTCCGTTAGTAAAAATTGACAGTTCATACCCTTCCTAACCCTCACCCGCCCCGCTTTAAATCCACCACCACACCTTTTTCGATTACATCCCACAAGTTTAATTGATTTTGAAATTAAAATTGACATTGCTTGGTAATATCATGGGAAGAGGGTGAAAGAATACACAAAGGCAAAAACTAGTTGGTGTGGGGCAAATTTGGTCAGCTTTGAAAAGGTGACCCTAAAGAAAGGCCAAAAGCACATAGTCAAGATGGGGTGAAATCCCTTTATTATTCCATCATATTTTGCAAAATTCCAGTCAATTTTGTTTACTTAGAGAGAGTTCCATAATTGAAAGGCAGAGGCCAACCCACCCCCCACCACCCAATGCCTGCTAACAAGCTCACACTTCCCGTCCCTTCTCATGTGCTTATGCCTACTTATTTAATTTCTCCTTCATCCTATACAATTTTTTTTTTTAATTTTTTTTGAGAAATTAAGACAAATATCCAAACATAAAAATTGTATGCCTAAATTTTTTTTAAAATAAATGAGAAGGAAATTTTGTGAGTCTCACTACTGAAAAAGAAATAAAGTAAGTGCAAAGTATTTTCTGATTTTTTTTTTAAATGGAGAGATTAAGATGTGTGATTGAAGTGGAGAGGTTCATTGAATAGTCTCAACTTTGACGTTCTAAGTGCGGGCCGGGCCAGACCTACGAGTTGTATTATGAGCATTTTCAAACCCGAATCCGGGCGGGTCAAGCCCGTAAAATGGGCCTACCGATTGCAACCTGAGCTTGAGCCTCAGTGTATCAATCGACCGGCCCGTTCTACATCAAAATTGTTTTTTAGGGACATTCAAGTTGGCTTTTAAATAAATAAAAAAATAGATTTTAAATTAAATAATTAAAGTTTTTACTTAAATAGAGCTGGCCAATTTAACAATTTTATACAAACTCTTATTCACCATTCTTGTATTGTGAAATAAGCAATGAGCCAATGACCAAAGAACATTAAACCCCAAATTTCCTAAGAATCGATAAAGGACTTAAATGGGCTTAAATGGCTTAACTGGGCTCAAATGGCTACCCATAAAGTTTGGGTTTTAAAAATGAAGGCTCTATGTGATTGTTCCCTCTGGGCGCGGGGCACCCACTATACACGACTCGATTAAGAGTTTCTCCTCCTTTCTCTTCGTTTGGGCAAGGGTACACACTACCCACTCTGTAGTTATATCTAAATTTGTTTCTGATGTGATTTGATTCTAATAAAAATAAGTACTCCAGTAATAAAAATAAGAGTTAAAGAAACAGGTGTGTTTGACTAGAATCAGGGCACCAGGTTGTAATAACACATGAGGTGGTGAAGATACATTGATATTGCATGCACACATGAATGTTTATATATTGTGTATGCTTCTCTGTATTTATAAGTTGGTCTAAACTACTTATAAGCAATTTTTAACTTATTAGTTGATGACTGCATGCTTCTGTGTGCTTTTAAGCTGACTTATAAGTTCCTTATAAGCCCGAAAAATAAGTCGGTCTTATCTACTTATTTTTAAGTCAATTTTTTTCGTTTATCTGTTTTGACCAGATTATTTACAAAACTGTTCATTACCATTTATGAATATTTCCAAGTGACTTCACTATCATTTAAGTCATTTTACTTCTATTAAAGAATATTTAACTTATAAGCACCTTATAAGTTAAAAATTAATCATCAGTAAGAAGAGGTGAATAAGCACTAGAGAAATAACCTCGTTGTAAGAGAAGCATTATTATATATATATGATGATGACCAATGGAAGCTAAGATGATTCGAGCTTCAAGCAAACGATGTCTATGAAGTGGGCGTAAGTCTCTTTAGTTTGAACGTGGTATAACTTTAGATTAGGTTTTGTTTTAATTGAGTGCTTGTTATCTGATCCTAGTTTGACTTTTGAGGAGAGGTTTGTTTAATTTGGAAGTTAAATTAAACATCCTTATCCGAAAATTTATTTCTAAAGTTTTCTTGCAATCAAAATATTGCATTCATGTCTTCTCTAACAATTTTCTGGCCTATTTTTTGATAAAGAAAGATGCATTAGTGTCTATTTTCCAGACCATGGAGGTACTAGTGCTTATTTTTATTTTTCGTTTATTTTTTGTTTTCTCCTTTTTTTCCTTTATTTGTTTCTTTTATATTAATCAAGGTTTTTAAACTTTTTTTTAAATTGTTTTATAATGTTCTTAAAATTTAATATTATTTTTTTTAAAAAAAAATAACAAATACTGCATCTGTATGTCTTGAATTATCAATTGTTTATTTTTGTTTCCCGAAATTAAAAATTTATCTTTTTGAGAACTTCAAAAAATGAGAAATAAAATAAGAAATAAAATAGAACAAAAAATAAAAAGGAATATCCCTTTTGGACATCCCCATTCTAAAGACTTTTTTAGGTGTTATGATTTTTTTGTATAACACTCTTTTTTACATGTTTCAATTTTTTCATTTCATTTTTCCATATTTTTATTTTTTATTTTAGATTTTCTTTTTAAACTTACCAAAAAAGTATTCTAGAAAACAAAACATGTTTAATTTGGATAGATGGAGTACGTGTTGATTTTTTTTATTTTCATTTTTATTTTTATTTCAAACACAAAAAAGTTTAATTTTTTTTAAACATTATAAAAATTTAAAATAAATTTAAAAATATTTTCTAGGAAAAGGAAATAAAGAGATAAAAAAGACTTAAATAAAGGGAAAAAACAAAATAATACGCAAAAAAATAAGAATGAGCACGAGTACCTTCTATGGTTTAGAAAATAGATATCAATGTGTCCGGCCTCTTTGCCGAAAAATGATCGGAAAATGGTCAGATGGGGTGTGTGTGCAATATTTTGAAACTACAAAGACTTTAGAAATAAATTTTGAAAATAAAGAAAGTATTGTTGTCTATTAAGTTTTAAAAATAGAGAGGTATTGATGCCAATTTTTAAACCACATAGCTAGGGCACTTAAGCTATTTGGCCATTAAACAAACGTCTCACATCAGATGAAAAGGAAGGAGTGGAACAAAATTAATAGATTCAACCCAACTCATAAGGATTAGATCTTAAAAACAAATTTGTAAAGGTTTGATCTAAAGCAAACAATATCATATTACTGTGGGATTAGAATGAGGGTAAGTGTTGTCTCAACATGTGGTATCGGAACCCATGTTCGTGCTAGCAGGATTGGGAGACAGTGTTGTGTGCAGAGTTCTCATTGTGTTCGGTATGACAACATGATCAGAGATATGCAAGTGGTGCCTTGTATCGAAAGTTTTCTTAATTAATTTCTAGCAGCGTGTCCCGTTGTATGTTAACAGCGGTAGTATATAAAAGGAAAGGGGAAGAACATAAAGAGTCTGTTTGGCAATAACGTTAGAGATAGTGTTAGCATTTTGGATAAAATTTTAACAGTGCAGATTACTTTGAAAATGTTAATGTTAAACACTACCCGTAGATAGTATTTTTCAAACACTAACGCTAATCTCTAAAATTATTTCGAAACAAATCCAAAATATACAATTACTCCGCATAATTTAATTCGTATTCGTAAACCTAAATTCGTTTCGAAGGACGAGAAGATTATGGCCCCGTTTGAGATGAGCGTTAGCTATTAGCGTTAGCGTTTTGAAAAGGCTATCCGACGGTAGCCTTTAGAGTTAGCGTTTTCAGAATTAATCTACACCATTAAAATTTTATCCAAAACGCTAACGCTAATAAAAAACGTTGTTTCCAAACAAAGCCTATATAATTATGAGGAATGATAGGGATACACCCATACACCATTTCTTGATATATGATGGGGTGCATTTGAAGTACGTGTATCATTTTTCACACAATTATACATCAATCATTCGAATACACCATTAAAAACTTGACCCTTGACTAATAATCAAATAGAGACATCAAATAACAACACTCGACAATGGACCTCTCCAAGAACACATATTTATATTATACGGAGTAATACTTTTTTTTGTTTGTTTTTTTTTGTTTATCAAATTAATAGATAAGTCCGGCGTTACTCCGGTATGGCCACCAGCACCGGCCGCCACGCTCGTCTAAGCAACCTCTGACGGATCGTCGCCGATAATGGCCGAGGCGAGCGGTCCCCGATTCTCTGGCCACCGGACCAAGACCCCGCTTGTGAGAGCCCCACTCTGACATTTCCTGACAATCGCTCATCCAAGGGCGGCGGCGACGGCGACGACAGCAAGAAATCCTTGAGCTTGTGCTTATGGCTCTCCGTTTGCTCCTTCCCCTCATCTGGGGAGCCTTTGCTTTCTACATTCTGACCGGCCGATGAGCCATCTCCGATCGGAAGCCTCCGCACCCCACCGCTCGCTCCGCCGCGACCGAGCAGCATGCCGAGTGTCTTCCGACGGCGGAGGTGGATAACTGGGCTCGCCGATGGGCTCAGCGTTGGGCTTCTTGCCACGGCACACTGCGTCGCCAAAAGCTTGAAAATCTGCAGAGTCGCCATTATATTTATCAATCTCCGCTCCAACTAAACCCTTTTATTACGAATCAGTAATGGATGGATCGATTCCCAAATTCCCAGAAAATCAGAGGCATTTCTTACAAGGAAAGATTGAGATCTGGGGTTGTTTTGGGGAATGGGATTTTCAGCCTCTTTTGGAAAGCGAGATGCCAAAATTGCAGAGTGGTTTCTTTTGAATGGGTAAAATTGCAGAGATAAATGGGAAAGAGACGGGGGTAAAAGAGAGACAGAGACGGAGAGAATAATGGGCCGGTCTGAGTCTTATTGGGTCACCGCCCAATCAATATCCAGTTTTAACGGCTCGTTATATTTGACGAAAGTTGTCTTTGACATTAGTTTGAGCATTAGACTTTAGCATTTGAAAAATATTATTCCAACATGTAATCGTATTACTATTACAATGTGAGTATTCTTGAGATGAATTTACTTAAATAGAACTAAAATATGATGACAATCTCATCAGTCATTATCCATTTGTCATTATTTAAGTAAATATCCACCATCGTTGGGTATTATTCCTCACACTAGATATTATTAAATATTATTTAGAAAATAAAAAAGTTTAAGTCTTACATTCGAAAATTACTTATGTTTTAGTCCTATTTAGTGCAAACTTTTCTATTCTTTATAGAGTTTTCAACTCTTCCCGTTTAGGAGAGTCACATTGACGCCTTTAGAAGTGCTAAATCACAAGATCTTTGGCTACTTATATGTTTTTTAATTTACACATTTATGGGGTATTTGGTTGGGTGAGAAAATATTTTCAGGGAAAATTTTGATTCTATTTTCCTGAGTTTGGTGACATTAGTAGAAGAAAAATATTTTCCAGGGAAAATATTTTCTTTCGATAGAGAGAAAATAGTTGACGTTAAAAATCGAAAGGAAATTTTCATTCTCTTTCTGCTCCCCCACACACACCCTCCAATATCCGTCCACCTCATACCTTTTTTTAACTTTTCACTTTTAAATTTAGAATTAAATTTTAAATTTTAAATTTTGAAATTAAAATTTAAAGTTTAAAATTTAAAATTTAAAGTTATGGGTAAAATTGTAGAGTGAGTGTGAGTAAAAAATCATGTATTATATTGTTGGCTTGAAAGAAGAACTTAACCACCAAATGATGAGGTGAAGATGTAAATTATTTTACTCCGTAGTTGATTATGCCGAGTGTGTGTGAAATTATGATTCGTTTAATGAAAGGTGATGGAAGACATTGTGATGACAATTGTGCATGACTTCACATGATCAATATTTTCACGCCTCATTGGGAAGGGGTGTTATGAGTGAGCGTCGTGAGCATTAATAATCAGTGCTAGAGTAATCAACATATTAGAATTTTACATAATAAAAGATTTGAAAAAAGCATGCATATAAAGTATTCTCACTCAAATTTATAGTTTTTACTTTGTACAAACACTTATATTCCCTCCTCCTCCTCCCCCCTCTCCGCATAGCCCACACCATTCCAGTTTGACCTGGAATCACACTCCTATCCCAATCAATTGGACTCCTAATTTTTAAGTCAGATTCTTAACTTCAAAGCCAAGTAAATTTGAGAAGTCTAATTGATGGAGTAAAAGTGGGTTCAGGTGTGATCAAAGTGGAAGGTTCATTGGGGGTTAAGACGGTGAGAAAAATTGAATTTTTAAATGAAAAATTGAAAATGCTCTAAAAAGTCCGTGGTAATATTACTCAGTAGCAAGAGAACTAATCCCAACATAAATTGTTATTGAAAAGTTATTCCGAATTAATGAATGAGCATAAAAATTACAGAGTATTTTCACAAACTAAAGTGTCACGATTCAAATTGATTTGTTAGACGTTGGATTCCGGATTCACGTGACGGCAACTAATCTGTAGCAGGGCATTAGGTCCATATGTGCGATTTTGTTTTGTCCCACAGAGGTGTGACGGAATAAGAGATTCTTTTTTCAAGAATGCTAGGGGTAGACCATTTGGGATATCCCATTTGTACTCCTTCCTCTCCACCACACAAAGCAAGAGAGAGAGAAAAAATTAAAAATAAAAAAATAAATGAAGGGCTAAGATGAATGGTGTACAAAATGGGATACCTCAAATGGAGTACCCCTAACATTTCTCTTCTTTTTTTTGGTCTCTACTACGTTTTCTCCAAACAATAAGGCTATCTACAATGGATCCCCAAATTAAAAACTTCATTTCTAGGGACATTTCAAAACTAAAAACTTCACACCCATATTAAGGGGCCGTTTTTTCAGCCTCTTAATGGTTCAGATGTCTGAATGGTTAAGCACTTAATGGTTCAGACTGTTTGTTTCAGCCTCTTAATGGTTCAGATGTCTGAATGGTTAAGAGATTTGCCTCTGAATGTTTAAGTATTATACAGAGTCTGAATGATTAATACCTCTTATCTGAATTGATCAGACATTTGCCTCTGAATAGTTAAGCAATATACTAGCTCTTAATGGTTCAGACCTCTTACTGGTTCAGTACTTAATGGTTCAGACCTCTTACTGGTTCAGCACTTACCTATTCAGAAATTGCCAAACAGCCTCTAAGTTTTTTCTAAATAAATTTATTTGAGTAATTTAATTTTAATCTGTATAAATTTTATTGACCAAGTTTTAGTTTTTTAAAAATTTGATAGAGAATTGAAGGCAAATGAAAACTTTAATTTTTTGTTTTAGTCTATTAGAGATGATTGCCAAAAATTGGTTTTAGTCTTTTAGAGATGATTGCCATTTCCAAACGAGTTATTCACATGCCTCTCCATCTTTTTGATATAGATTTCCAAAGGAGCAGCCCGGTTTACATCATGCATGAATCTACTCGTTCATTTTATAATCTTTCTTTACTACTCCCTCCTTTCCTTTAAACACTTCCAGTTTTGACTTTTGACAAATATAAGGAAAGTGTAATTTTGGTTGACTTTCCAATTTTGCCCCTGATGTGATGGGAAAAAGTAAGATGTGATAGTTTAGTTATTAGTGAAAAATTATGATGTGATAGGTAGGGTATGAAAAAGTAGGGGTAAAAGTGGTTTTTTAATAGAAAGTGGAAGTGTTTTGTGGAAAGCAAAAAAAACGAAAGAGGAAGAGTTTTGTGGAACGGAGGGAGTAGTTTCCTCTGAGTATATTTGCATAGTTTTATTTTTTTTAATTCAAATTTAAAAAAGTTAAATTGTAATTACTTTCAGTTTATATTATAAATTAGTATAATACTAAAATAATAAATGTTTTCATCAAACTAAATTTAATAAAATTACTACTCCGTATTATATAAATTTACATTATAGTTTTTATTTAATGAAAACTCAAAATTTATCGAATTTAACTCAAAAAATTTAAACTGTATAAATACATATGGACGGAGAGAATATTTTTTTAATACTCGTAAATTTTAATACGGAGTATTTACGTCATCAATACAGAGAGAGTATTTTTTAAATACCCGTAACCCAATCTATCACGCGAAATATTCACATTTATAATAAACGAAATGAAAATCGATATTACTACCTTTGTTGGGCACATAAATTTGTAACCTAGAAAAATATTTTTTTTGCAGGATTTTATCATAAACATTATCAATATTTTATTTTTCTAAGATTTTTTTGTGTGTTATATATTTCATACATTTTTTCGTTCCATGGGATAGATTAATACTCCCTCCGTCCTATAATGATCTTCCCGGTTCGCAAAACGAAGAAAAATCCCAAGTTTTTTCAATCTATTTTATTTAAATATTGGTATAGAAATAAAAAATAAAACATACATATTTAAAAACTACACCAAAAGTTCAACAAAACAAATGGTGACAAGAATATTTTATTTTATCATATAGGCCATGAAAAAACACAAATAAATATAAATTCCCGTGAAGTTGGAATAGTGCTCTGGGAAGATCATTATAGGACGGAGGGAGTAACAATTATTACTTATATCATCTCGTTTCACATGATTCAACCGTTTCCACGAATGATGGACGGATCGGATGATGAGTGATGTGTATAACGAATGATGGATGAATCAGATGATGATTACAATATCGATGAATGGATGAGGATAAAACTTTACTCGACTAAAATCCGACCCATTGTCACCCCCATACGCATGTGATCAAATTCTATGTGATCAAATTCTACTTTGTAAGCCATTTTTTAATGAAATTTCTCCCTATTAAGTTGAATTTTCAGAAAATGATGAAAAATAAAATACTTGGGCACGAAATTTATATACGTAATGTCATTTTTTTTGTTGCCTCTTGGGATATATGTTTAGCGTTGAGGAGGCCATTTGGAGGGGTAAGATCGACACGTCGCCTGCATATATCTGACCCCATCCCCTCCTCCCCCATGACGTGTCAATGCTGCGGCGATGCTTATGTGGGAAACATTTACACAAAAGGAATTTGAAATGGGAAAAAAGAAAAAGTGAAATTTGCACTGAATAAGATTAAAATATAAGTCATTTTCTAATGTAGGACTTAAATTTTTTTATTCCCTAAATATGACTTAATAGTGACTAGTTAAAAGAATAATGCCCAAGTGATGCTGAATATTTAATTGAATAATGACCAATAGATAATGACTAATAGCCTTACATTGGGAAATAAAAACATATGGTCCTATATTGAGAAAGTCATTATGTTTTATTCTATTTAGGTAAATTACCCAAAGAAAAATGAGATAGAAAAATTTTTCAATACCAACCTTCTCTTTTCTCACCATTTTTTATTATTATTTTCTATTAATATAAATATTAAATTTTTTTCTCTTTAGTTTCTCGCAATTTTCTTTCCTCTCATTTTCTTTTCTATTACTGTAATTTAATTTCTTTCCCCTCATCTTTCTAGTTTTGACAAATTTGTATGGTCCAACTTCTTTCTCTCTTCTTTGCATTACTCTGAATTATATAATTTTATTTTTTCTTAAATTTTGTGACATATCTAATCGGGAGGGTTTTCTTGAGAGAGAGGAAATTTGAGTTGGATTCCTAGTAATTATATAATTCACTCTTTACTTCAGTGATGTGGTTCATATTTTTTATTCACGTTTAAAAAAATAAAATCTAAATAAATTATAAATAAAAAAAATTATATTTTTATTTTCACAACATTACCTATAATATTAAAAAAATATCAATAGACCGTCCTGGTGGGATGTTGGGCCTTCAGGGTCTAGGCCCAGCCCAATCCCGAACGAGAGCATGCAAGAATAATTTTGGCTAGAGTGAGGCGGGTCGTTATGATGGACAAATAACGAGTCTCTAGCCCAGCCACACACGATGAAGGAAGCAACTCTTTTTTCGGGACGGGATGCGCTAGATTGCTAGGGGTGGGTGCGGTCCGTGACGGTCCCTGATACTACCGGAACCTATCACGGACCGCTCTTGTTTAAACGGTTCAGTATTGGTACATTATTTACCCCAAAACCATTCAATACCATTATGTTTTGAAACATTAAAAGTACAATACTATACCCATGCTCAAACCGTGCCAGAAAAATATGAACATGCATCACTCAAAAAATATTAAAATAAAATCATAATTTTGTATAAAAAACACAACTTTGTTAAATAGAATTATTAGTTTCGAATTTAAAAGGGTCATAAACATTAAGAATAAAAGATAGCGAGTTCAAGCTTTAAAAATAGTTTTTTTTCAATTCATACACTATCAAACTATTAATAATTCTAAAAAATAATGGTAATAGTAATAATACATATAATTTCAAAAATATAAATGAAAGAATTTAAAAAGTGAACAATACAATACGAAATACTATATATGCGATAAAATGAAGTAAATAAATAATTATTCGAGATATTCCGTATATAACTTTGAACGGTTAAAAGAATTTATCTTTTTTTTTTATTTTTGAGAGATCAGAATTTGGATATACAGTATTATCATAAGTTCATCATAAACTTTTACAACTTATAGTTAGGTTTTTTTACAGAGCAAGACCAAAACATAAAAAAAAGTTTAGATATAAAAGTTAATTAAATGAATAGTCTCTATGAATCTAAAAAGCACAAAATAAATTGTCACAAGTAGTATACACCATGGTGATGCATAAGTAACATTTTTTTTTAAATTTAAAAATGTTTTCCCCATTTCAGTTTTCACAGTTCACCCCAGTACCAAACCCTCCATCGTCGCCTCCCTCTCCGCTCGAACTGTTTAAAGTTTCAGAGGCGTCATTTTCACCCTCGTAACCGCTGCACAGTTCGTCAAAAAACGAGAAGGAAAAAGCCTTAGCCCCAGGAGGTGAGAAAGATATTTTCTACGCTTGTTTCTACACTTTACTTTTTCTTTTATTTTCACCCCATTGAAAGGATAGAAACATGCTCAATTATTCCTTCAATAAGGGCCAAATTTATGTGTAGTGGATAATGATTAGACTTCCTGTGCTGGCATGGCGGACATGCCCTAAACTGTAGCTGTTTACACAGAATGGTTTCTCCGTTCTGCTTATCGTTATTCTGGAGTCTGGGTTCTCAATTTTAATCCGCAAGTTCGTCTTTGATTTTTGTTTTCTGGACTTCTGTTTCATCGATGCCTGGTTTGAATTTGAGATCCGTCCTTTGTTTCGAGAATTTCAGATGGGCTTCCCCTGCTCAGGTGTGGAGTTCACTGACTACTACTAATTCATACTAACCCTTGTATTTATGCCTCTCTGTGTTGCTATTGTGTGTATAAATCTCTACTTGCATATTAGATTTATTTATGTATTCTTGAATTTGAGATTTTGTGTGATGAATCTTCAAGCAAGCAATTCTTGTTCTTTGAGTACCGAATCCGATTACTTGCAACCCTAACACCTAAATCTCCCTGATACTCATAATGTTATGATAAGTCTATCGCACAATTAGTAATTATTCATTGTATATCAAGATTGATATCTTGGTATTTCAAGCAGAGGGTGGTTGATCACAGATTGGGGACTTGTGAAGGTTGTAGAAATTTGTTTTTCCACCCTTATTTCCCATTGATCGCACACGAGAACAAGATGGCTTGGGTTCTGGCTACTTATTTAATAACTTTTTGAAGTTATTAATTAGTAAGATTACATTGATCCCGCTGAACCAAATGTTGTTTTTGTGTGCTTAAATGAGGATGAACAGTAAAAAGCTTTATGCCTTTTTGGGCTCTTACATCCAATTCTTTTTTATGAGCCAGCAAAAAAATATGTTAATAGAAGATTAGTAGGTCAAGGTCATTTTTCTATCATTTTCTATATGTTCGATGCATATTTCTATATTTATTACTCTGTAGGCAATCTTTATCCACTTTGTTTGTTTAGTTTTTTACTCATTTGATAACTTTATCCACTTAGTTTTAAAATTTACAAATTTTATTTTTTTTATTTTACGCCAATTTTTTCATTACCTTGTGCTAACAAGTTTGTTTGCGGTCATTCCATTTTGCAGTGTTGACTCGCTTTACAATGTTTTAAATCTTATAATACCCAATCACAGTACTTTTTTGCTGTTAACTTCACTGAACTATCATGTTCGGTCATTGTAAACATTTTTATCCTCTTGCGGCTCACTCAATTCTCTAATTAGCATTAGAAAATACAATGTAATAACAGAGAGCAATGCGGGAGGTCCAGCTTGGATCCCATACTGTTAGATCCCATGGAGTTGCAGTGGCAAGGACACACATGCATGACTGGCTGATTCTATTCCTTCTTGCTGTGACGATAGGTATTCTGAATGCTATTCACCCATTTTACCGATTCGTTGGGAAAGATATGATGGATGATCTCAAGTATCCATTCAAGAACAACACCGTTCCTTTTTGGGCAGTACCTGTAAGTTTACCTTAGTGCTCAATTAAGAATAATTCCTTTTTACGGAGCATCTTCGTTTGTTTTAAGCAATAACTTGCTTTACTTAACTTATATGCTGCAGGTGTATGCTGTTTTGTTGCCAATAATCATCTTTGTGGTAGTCTATTTTCGTCGAAGGGATGTCTATGACCTCCATCATGCAATACTGGGTAAATTTTACTCTGCCATTTACCCCTTGTCCTTTTGCAATTTTTCAATCATAACCTTTGTTGGTTTTTAGGGGGGTTGTTTACATCTATGTCTCCCGAGGTTTGATCTGATTCCTAAAGGTCCTAAATGTTTATGAGTATAAGTCATTTGATCATTCAGGGTTCCTGCTCATGGCCCTTTTAACACTAAAGGGTTTATAGGATATATTGACATTAACCAAATTTGTATGTCATTTGAATAAATTTGGTGTTTTAATGTATCTTCTCTATTAAATAGTTAAAACTTTCTCTCAAAAAGATATTTTTGGTCACATATTGAGAGGGATCAGACTGTTCATGGTGGCTGCTTGCATTATTACTATTATTATTATTATTATTATTATTATTATTATTATTATTATTATTATTATTATTATTATTATTATATCCTATCGATATTTCAGTATCAAGGAACTCCTAATTTTCAAAAACTTCGAGGGTCATTTGATAATTTGATGTAACCTCGGGCGAGGTAGATAAGTAGATCTTGTTAACCTTTGTTCTTTGTTTCTTGCAGGTCTCTTATTTTCTGTTCTTGTGACTGGAGTTATCACAGATTCCATAAAAGATGCAGTTGGTAGACCTAGACCGGACTTTTTTTGGCGTTGTTTTCCAGATGGAAAGGATGTGAGCTTGCTATGGGTTTTTACTGTTATTGGTTTATTTCAATGCTTTGTCCCCCTTTTGGGACCGGCTCGTGATATACTCCCACTTAATTAGAATTGCCCTACAGGTTTATGATAAATGGGGAAATGTTGTATGCCATGGAGTTGAAAATGTCCTAAAGGACGGGCATAAGAGTTTTCCAAGTGGGCACACTTCTTGTAAGTACTTGTCAAGATAATGTCTCTTACCATTCTGTAATGTCTTCAAAACATGAGTTCACATTTTGATTGATAAATATATTTGCAGGGTCATTTGCCGGTCTTGGATATCTGTCGCTGTACTTAGTTGGGAAGATAAAAGCATTTGATAGCCGGGGGCATGTTGCCAAACTGTGTTTGATATGGGTTCCTCTCACAGCAGCGGCCTTAGTTGGGATTTCTCGAGTGGATGACTACCGGCACCACTGGCAAGATGTGTTTGCCGGAGGTCTACTTGGTTTGTCCCATCTCATCATCATAATCTAATGTTCCCTTTTTACTTCAACCTAATTTGAAACCATTTCTAGGCCATAGTAACGTTGTACCATTTGGCAGGTCTTACAGTTGCCACATTTTGCTACTTGCAGTTCTTTCCACCTCCTCACCATGTCCAAGGTGCGCACCTTTATCTTAATTCCTTCATCTTTTAGTTCAAAGAAAGAAATCGTTGCATGAAATCTTTTACGGATTATTTGTGCGTGCATGTGTTTGAGCCGGGAGTCTCTTGGAAACAACCTCTCTACTTGTGGGTTTCACTCGGTTTGTTGTTGTAAATCTTTTACGGAGTGTGGCTATTATTTTATGAATGGGTGTAGGCTGGGCAACATATGCGTATTTTCGGGCACTGGAGGAGAGTAACGGAGCTATACATGCCAACAGCGGTGGTGTGGGGCCCACCGAAGCTCGAGTCGAAAATCTAGGAGGCGAAAGAGCCCATGGTACGTTCATGGGGATTGGTTTAGCTGATGAGGATGTGGAGTCTGGCGGCGGTAGGTATTCTTGAATCTTGACCACTAACTAGTAACTAGACTAGATCAATGGAATGAATAGGCTCAATTTTTTTTTGACAAACAAACTAGTCGTAGAAGAAGAAGAAGAAGAAGGCTTTTACTTGTATATATTTGTCTTTGCGAACCACGGAGTACAATAAAATTTGTCTTGCCTGTAAGACAGATTGACATTGGCTATTCACCAGTTACTATTCTGGCATCACGATGCTTTCAGAAAATTTCCCATACCCATTAGATAATAGATATGGTACTTCGTTCTTCGTATTCTTGTCCTAAAAAAACAGAAATAGTTAAATATTCCATCAGTTCCTAAATGAATTGGATGGTTTGATTTTATGTAGTTTAAAAAAAGTGAAATGGGTTTATTTAAATGTAAAAAACGTGCAGTTAAAAGTAATTTTGAAGATAGGGAAATGATAAATGACACATTCGTTTCTTAACCGGACTGAGATTGAAAATCCTTAATGATGTGTTTGGAAATCTAAATTTGGATTTCAAATTCGGATTTGATCCAAATTACTTATTTGGGAACTTAAAGAATTTGGATTTAGATTTAGATCAAATTCTTCTAATTCAGAATTAGCTCAACTACAAACCCATGTCTCTCTTTATGTCATTTACATATTCAAGCTCTACTTTGCTTTAATTTAGAACTTCTAATTAAATAGTGATCTTCTCTTATGTAATCATACATATCAATCCGCTTCTGTCTTTGTCGATTTCAAAATTTAAATTCTAGAAATTGAAATTCTATGACTTCCTAATCAACATTTGGAATTTGAAATTACGAAATTTCAAATGTTGGAATTAAAATCTACGATTTCAAATGAATTCTAGTTATCGAATACAACTAAACAAATTTATTGCGGAAAGATTGAAAAAGGAAAAAGGAATTACATTGGATCTTATGATTACAAAATGACAACTCATATAAAAACTTTAAAATCCATCAACTAATTTTTTTAAAATCTACATAATTTTCAATGCAATTAGATTTAGATTGATGTTAATTATAATTAAATACACTAAATTTTAATATGTATTTTTGAAATTCTAATGGAATACATAATGGCTCCGTTTGATACACGAAATTCAAATTATAGAATTGAAATTGAGGATAATAATTCTAATTCTATTGTTTGGTAGCACAAAAATATATAGATTTGGAATTCATAGTGCCAAAAATGAACTGAATTTGGAGAAATCAATTCCATAAAATTTTAGCTTCCAATTAAATTCTACTTCTATCAATTTCATTTATCAAATAGACCCATAGAATTGTAATATAGATAAATAAAAATTTTAGCTTTCAAAAAAAATGGAGTTTGGAATCGAGCTCATGGGCCTTATGTTTAAAATGAAACAAAAAGCCCAGATAAGAAAGGGATTTCCCATCTTATGAGATTCACCCAAACCCAACGCTTAGGCTTTATATTGATCCCTACCATTTGCCAAACCCTACCCGCCTCACTATCATTTCATCCGACGCCGTCGACGCCAACTCCGACAATGAAGTACAATCCGCGCGTCACAAGCTCCCGCCGGAAGTGCCGGAAGGCTCACTTCACGGCGCCGTCCAGCGTCAGGCGCATTCTGATGAGCGCGCCGCTCTCGTCGGAGCTCCGTAGCAAACACAACGTCCGTTCAATTCCGGTCCGGAAGGACGACGAGGTCATGGTGGTCCGCGGCACATACAAGGGAAGAGAGGGTAAGATCGTCCAGGTTTACCGCAAGAAGTGGGTCATCCACATCGAGCGCATCACTCGGGAGAAAGCTAACGGAAACACCGTCAACGTCGGAATCCACCCGTCCAAGGTCGTCGTCACCAAACTGAAGCTGGATAAGGATCGCAAGGATCTGCTTGACCGGAAGGCGAAGGGAAGGGCAGTTGGAAAGGACAAGGGGAAATTCACCGTTGATGATGTAGCCGCAGCAGCCGGAGCTTCATCTATTGATTAGGTTTGGTGTTGCTCTTTTATTTATGCTTATTTTGAATCTATTCTTATCATCTGAACCAAATATCAGCGTTTCTTATCTGTAACTTGGTAAGTTTTCCAGAACCATCAAATTTTCGATCTAATGCCATTTCATGTGCGTTTTTTCCATCTTAGTTTGTCCGATATAATGCCTGCTTCATTGCTTAGATATAAGCATTTCGTTCATTAGTTTTCAAAGGGTGTTATGTTTGCAAGGAAATGAGTCAACTGGGATTTGAATGTTCTTAATATGATGAACTGGAATTGATTCTGGGTTCTATATTTCAATGCATCCTGCACCCAGTCTTGCAACCATTTTCCTTTTCTGATTAGTGCAAATGAAACATCTGCATATATCTGTGTTTGTTTGTGACTTCTTGTTTTATGAATAGCTGTAATCACTTTAAAAAGATTGAATGAAAGTTCAAGTAACCTTGAGGAGTATTTAATTTGTTTTTGTTTGTTTTGTTGAAGAATCTCTCATTATCCATGAGAGAGTTAGATGCCATTCTTTTGATCATTCTTTATCAAAATCTATGGTATCACATAGTTTTCTGTTGGAGCCTTTAATGGGATTGGAACCATTTTTTGGTTCAAAATGTTTTTTGAAATTTGCTCAAGTCAGAAGCCAAGTTCTTGTAATATTTGTAAGAATTTGGGATTTTGCATGAATATTTTAACATTACAATATGATACTAGTGCTCCAAAAATTTAAACAGTATAACGAAAACAATTTATTGTTTTCATCAGCATTGTGGACATTGCATTTTTTTTCTTCCCTTTCCACATTTCTCAGCTATAGTCTTTCATTTTCTAACACTTATTCTCTCTCAAAAAGGCAGTCTTTTTTTTCTTTTATTGAATGCAAATACTCTTATGGGTCCATAATATTACTCATCAAATACTCCGTAGTTAAGAGTCACAAACAACACTTAGGTTCTTTGAAATTGCTAATCAATGTCGTATTATGATTCCTCATCAAAGCCATCAAGAATGAAAGAATTGCATCTTTGTGGAGCATAATCAAAGACTATTAAACAAGTAGAGGATTATCGATTAAAAAAGTGTTTCAAAGTTGCTATCCGAGTTAAAAATCAATTGCTAGTTGCTCACTCAGTCGAGACAATGATTGTTCAACAAAATCAACCGATTGTTTATTCAATAATATGTCCTTTGAAGGTTGATGGTCAATAAATTTTAAGTTGCTCTTATTAACCTTCTAAGTGAAATTGCTATGACATGGGCATTCTTCTTAGGCCATAGCTAGAATGGTTGTGGTTGGATAATGGCTAGGAGGATTTGTAAGGCATTACGGCATCTATATTTTGAAAGTTAACTCAAATCTTAGCTCAGGAGTTAGGACTCACCACTCCTCATATTTTTTTTTCCACATCATGGTTTCATTCATTTGTTAGCTTGGTGTACAAATGGAGTACCCCATGTTGGTGTACCCTTAGATTAATTCTCAAGATCTTGAACTTCTTTTTCCCATGCCCACTGAATACTTGTAGCGATGGTCATAGCTTACACGGAAGTTGCACCCCTTTCTCTAATATTGGTTGGAAATCCACCTTTTCACTCTATTATTTGGAAAGGCACCGCTGATACTAGCTTCGTCAATGAACATTTTACAACACCCCTCGATATTGAGGATCCATTCAGAATCTTGAGCCATCTTGCATTTAAGTGAGCAATCAGTTAAATTGGGAATATTGCTCAGATCACCACTCAACATATTTGGTCTGGCATTGCTACTGCACATCACTTCGAAAGTCATGATGAAATTATTGAGGAAGATCTCGGCCCAAGATCGAACCGACCCAGATTGGACTGAAGGCCTAATCGAATAAAATTGCGGACTGAAGATCGGACCAAAATCTATTCGGGTTTGGGTCAGACTAGAATACTTAGGATTGAGTTGGTCCGTACCAAATAAAAATATATACTTCCTCCATCCCTATTTTGATTATAATTCTTTTCTGTCTTTTCTCGATAACTTTTGTTTTTTTATGCGATTTCACTAAGTATTTGATAACCGAATATTATTGATATACCGATTAGTAAATAAAATTATTTCAAAAAATGAGATATTTTTCATCGTAAACTACAATTTGTAATCAAATTGGGGATGAATGGAGTATATTTTAATTACTCTGATCAAATAAAAATATTTAACCTTTTTATTTTGTAATAGAAAAGTATAAAGAAATAGACAACCCTGAAATAGATACAGAATGTGTACTTCTATGTAAAATAATAAAAACCAATGTGAAACATTTATTTTTTATTTTTTATAAAAAGATTACTTAATAAAAAATGTTTGAATTAAATAAATTAATATATTTATTAAAATAGAGCATCCAAGTGAAGTTTTACGAGTAGTATTTATGTCTTTTAGGTCCAATAGGATTATTAGACTCATTCGGTCCAATCGGTCTGGATTTAAATCATTTCGGGGTTGAATTGGAACCGACCAATATTCAAAGACCTAAATTTTTTAGATCGAAGACCGTTTTGAAATTTATTCGATCCAAATTTGGTCTGGACCAAACGATCAACTTGAACCTAAATCTGAAATTTATTCAATCCAAATTTAGTTTTTATATCCATTGGGTGTGTTTCAAGATACTATATTAATGTAAAATATTTTAATCAACAATATGATTAGCTTAAAATAAGTTTTTTACTTTGTTAGTTTGTGGGATTTCAAAAACATTATAAAGTTGTACTTTAAATTATTTCATTTTTTGAAAAAATAAGTTAAATGTCAAATAATAAAATATTCTAAATTGAAATATTATACTTCAATTTTTTTGAAATTGTTTTACTTTTTTATAATTATGGAGATTTTTTTGGTAACGGTCAATGATTATAACTATAAAAAGTAATGAAAATTAAATTTAACTTTAAAAAATTAATTTTATAATCATATACTCTGTATAATTTTATAATCACATACTCTGTATAATTAATTTTAACTATATTTTAATTACTTATTATAACGATAAAAAATTACATATTACAAAGTTGTATTTATAATCACATACTCCGTATTTTATAGGTATTAAAAAAAATTAATTTTATAATCACATACTCCGTAGAATTAATTTTAACTATATTTTAATTACTTATGATAACTATAAAAAATTACATATTATAAAGTTGTATTTATAATCACGTACTCTGTATTACAGGTATTAAAAATAAAAAAATTACATTCCGGTCTTATCCGTTTGACCGAAAACTATCCGGTCTTGAACCGGAATGGACCAAATTTTATCGGTCTGTTAATCTTTAGACTGGAAACTGGTATGAAATTTTACCAGTCTAGCCCTGAACCGGTTTTTCCGATTTGGTCCGATTCAACCTGGATTTTGTACAATCATAAAAAATACAGTTATGAAATTAGATTTTTAGATTTTAGATCACACAAATGGAGTCAAATTTGTATTTTAAAATATGCATGTATATTTAACCCCAAGAAATAAGTACAAAAAAATGATTATATTTTAAAAATTTATACAAATAAAGAGGATGTTGTTGACTACTATTCATTAGAGCGGTTGAAGTGTTGGACTCCCAGCCAAATGGAGTCGAAGAAATTGGTTAACTGTGGATGATATTTTATTAAGAAATGATGTTGGTGGATGACTCGAAATGTAATCCGACTTCTAATACTTTTATCATTGTTAAGTTGTAAAATTTTTAAGGTTTGTATTTTTTGGAGGAAGACATTAAAGACGTAAAGTAAATTTTATATCAGAAAACTTGACCTCCTAAATGTTGATTGTTGGAGTCGATAGAAAATAATTTTTATGATTTAATATGTATAAAATTCGAAAATTGTTTAGGATAAAAAATACGTGTATTATACATTTGTCACATGAAGAATTTGTATTTGGGAGTATAATACGTGTATTATACGTACGAGTGTATAATACGCGTATTATACATGATTAAGCTAACAGAGATTATCACGGTACAAATTCCTATTTAGGATAAAAAGATGGAGCTTCTATTTTAGTACTTTATCTATGTTAATTCCTATTAGAAATCACTCTAAATTGGAGTAAAGCGTAGAGAAAATATCAAAGTAGCAGTTCCATGTTTTCATTTCCAAAATAAGAGTTTGCACTGTAATAATGCGACGCTGTATATAGACATTTCATTACTCGGTATATTTTTTTTGGTAATGTATATGGTTATGATTGACATAGTATATCCCATTTAACTTTTGTTTCATGAATATAAATATGAAGCTTTTATTTTGGTATATTTCTAGTGTTTTGCTCATACTTTAGTCTTTTTTCTTCTTGTGGTATATACTCGAAATTTTGTAAGTCTCTCTCTACATATGTAACTATGTTAAACACGGAATGAGCATGATATGGAGTATGGAAATATGGTAAATGATACTCCCTACTCCGTATATACTCACTATGTTCTCCTAAGATCTTTAAGTTTATCGAAATATCCTTAACGAAAATGAGAGGAATGTATCAAATGTGGTTGATGAGTTGTAATAAATAATGTGAGAGTACTTGTAGTATTTTAAATGTTAAAAAAAGTAATAGGAAACAAATAAAAAGAGCTAATATGAAGATCTATTAAAAAAGAAGAGAGTAACATTTTCAAGTTCTCTCTCACAAACTTTGAGAGGGGCATGGGTGTCTTCCCACTATTTTCTTGACATGTGGATTTAATAATGTCAATATAAAAGGCTAATAATCTCTCTATCTTTTACGTAGTATAAAATTACATTTCATCCTCCAGCTCATTTCGTTGACACTCAATCAAAGAAAAGTACTTGGACACGAAACTCCACCCATAAGCTAATTGAATTCCACCAATATGTTAATTTACTGAAATTGTAGCTCAGTTTGCTTTCTCTCAACTAACCATCCAGCCGGCACCAATAGACTCTCGGAGGTGGGGTTCAGTCTTTCAAATGAAAAGGTATAGGAGAAAATCCCTCTACTTGTTGCATTTGAAGTTCTATTTTTAAATCCAAATTTTGATCATACATTTTTTGAGGCCTTCAACTAAAAAGTAAGAATAAAATGGATAAAGTATGCCTTTAATTAGGGTGTTAACCATGCTATCTAATACCCAAATCGTTTCAGTATATAGTTCTAGTGTTCTAAACATGCTATCTAAAAGTTAATATTGATTATTATATTAAGATCCTAAATGGCACCAAAAACATCTCAAACAAAGCTTAACATTAAACACACTGGCATTGAAAGTTATGATGCTATAACATTTTCAATACGCTAAACTAAACGTTAAAGATAATCCCAAAAATAATCCTCAATTATTCTTTTAAGGAGTATTTATTTACTTCAAACTTAGCTTTAAGAGAAAACTCCAGTCCAATATATGTAGTAGTTCTTAAATGAAACTCTGAATTCAAAGTAATTAAAAAAATTAAATAACTTCTTGGAATTGTATCGTTTGGTAAAACGATAATCTCAAACACTGAACCGATCAAAATAACTCCAGGTAATTAGCAGTCTTCATAGTAATAAGTTCTGACTTTCTCCATATGGTAACCTTTTAGAAATGAAAAGGGTGTGGCCTGTCAATCATCCAAATAAAAACGTCATAGTTAAGGCAAAAACGGTAATTTTAAAGCGAAAGTGCTAACTCTGCATAACGTAATAATTTGAAGGACCAACATTGCAATTTAGCCCTTTTGAATTATAAAACAAGTAGTAACTCTTTTAGACATTTTGTGTGTGTGTGTGTGTGTATAACAAATTAAAACTTATGTATATAGATCAAACTTTTAAAGTGTAGACGAAAAATAATACTCCTTCCGTTTGAAAATGTTTTTCTCATTTAACTTTTCTTGGTCAAAATTTGTAAACTTTGACTCCGATTTATGGAAAAAATATATTGTACTATGATATAAATTTAATATCAATATATTCTTATTGAAACGTAGTTTTGAAATATCAAATTTTTATAAAATATATCGATGTATAAATATAGATAGTAATGGTTAAAGTCCAATATTGAAGACATAACAAGTAGAACATTTTTAGACAAAGTGAGTTTGTAGCTTACCTAACATATCTGGGGGTGTAGTCATAAAGATAATGTGGAGGAGGGTGAGGGAGGGCGGCGGCGGCGCCCCTGACCGGAAATGCTTGATAAGACTGATGTACGGCTGAGTATCCGGGGCCTGGGCCATAGCCGGCGCCATACATGGAGTAGCCGCCGCCGTGATCACGGGCGGAGCCACCATGACGGTAGGCGGAGGTGTTATTAGTAAGACGCAAAGCAGGGTGCTTCAAATTGGCCTTCACAATTTCAGTGTGTTTCCCAACTCTTGATAATGCAGTCAAGAGACGGTTAGGTTCAACTTCTCCACATATTTTCAACACATTTTCCTCTCCATCTATGTCAATTGTATATGGACCTGTAATTAACACACAGTTTCAGGGGTTTTGTTAGTCACAATGTGACAATGTACTATATTGTTTTTATTTTAAAAGTATATATTAAAAATTCAATAGTTTAATTAAATAAAATATTTAAATATTTTGAAATTAAAATGTCCAAATTTAATATTTCAAATAAGAGGAAGGGTATCTTACACCAATTTAATTTGGACTCCTACTGGACTCCAATCTTAAAATCAATTGTTCCTTTTCTTTCTTACCTCCCCGGTAAACCTCACACCCCTCTAATTGAACCGCTCAAATTTTTGTTGACTTTAGGGTCAATTTTTTTAGTCAAAATTTGGTTGGTGCAATTGGTGGGGATGCGTAGTGGCCTGGTTGGGTATGGGAAGTTTACCGAGGGGGGATTTTTGTTGACTTTATGATCTTTTTTTTTACAATTAGGGCTGCATAGCTTCTCCAATTGAATTAGTCTAACAATCATACACCAATTCAATTGGTGCTCCAATTGAATGGGTGTAAATATAATACTCCGTATATACTAAAATTAATATGCCATATCCCTAAAAAATAATATACCATACATTTAAATGCATCCAATGAAATGAATATTTAACTTTTTCTCTCCATCCAATCAATCACTCACAATTCCTTAAATGACATTTTCTATTCATCCATCGTTTTAAACACTTTTTAAACATCACCAATGAAGTTTGTTTTAATTTTATTTAACATGGAGTATATTTTTTCAATTTATTGTTTAAACACTTTTATTAAACTTTGTGCCGCTAATTTTTAGGGCATGTAGGGAGTATAAATCTAATGAAAAATAAATATAAGAAGGATGCATAAAATGTACCAGAAACGGAACTGATGACATCAACCATCTTCGACTTGCATGCATCACAATGAATATCCACTCTCAAAATACAACTCTAAACCAAAAAATAAATAAACAAATGAATTTATATTTTATAATGTCTCATTTATTTATTTATTTCGATGATTCAAATTATTTAAACAAACACTGCAGTAAAAAAAACACTTCGATAAAGAGATTTGTTGAATTTACCGCATCGGCGTATGGCTCCATCATATCGTCAACAATATGATAAAAAATACATAAAACCTAATGTTTTTGTTTGAAGCATAAAACGTAATGTTTTTAACCTGCAGTTCTATCTTTTAAAAGGAAACGATATGATTTTCCGTCATAAAACTTAACCTAATCTTTTTAACCAGCAATTTACTTCGTAATTCTTAAAAGGAAAAGATTTTCCATACAAAAAAGGAAAACATTTTATTTCCATTTTAAGCGTATTATTTTTGTTTTAACCTTTCACCTATAATCAACTTAGAAATATTTGTTTTCCATAAACAATCAAATTTACCTTAATTTCCTTCACTTGCAGTTGTTCTATAGATTTAGTTTTTTAATGGGAAAAAACCTACTTGTTTCAAAAAAATCATTTATGGAAAAATCTTTTTTTTTTCATCTTCCATTTTTAAAAAATTTCTTTCTTTCCATTTAAACTATTTTGGCACCAATTTGAGTAGTTGATGTGGTATTTTTATTTTTTTATTTGTAATAATTATATGCATTTTAGTGTATAGTATAATCTATATAATTTAATTAATCAAAATTATTTTAATTATCAATTTAAATTGCGTAGTGTTGGATATAATGATAATTTTAAAATATGTATTTTTGGTTTTAGAAACAAGGGCTATTTAATTTTTTAAAAGGGGGTTTAATTTTTTTTGAAGGAAGGGGATTTTATTTTTAGATATAAAAAATGGGAAAGAAACAAATGCAAGACAGAAGGTTACGAGAAAAGTGAATCAGAAGGCCAGGTTAAATACAATAAAAAAATACTACCTCCGTCCCGTGAAACATTTTCCCTTTCTTTTTTTATCCGTCCCACAAAACACTTCTCATTTCTATTAAAAAGTCACTTTTACCCCTTACTTTTTCATACCCTAACTATCACATCATACCTTTTTACTAATAATCTATCCATCAAATCATACTTTTACCTATCACATCAAAGGACATTTTTGGAAATTCAATACCAAAATACACTCCCTTAAATCCCTCCTAAAAAGCAAATGTCCCATGTTTCACGGGACGGAGGTAGTACTTTGTAAAAGAAAGAAAAAAAAAGGAAAGAAAAGTCTGATCTAGTCCATATTTTCGGCCAAAAACTTGGCTCGCACATGCCACGGGAATAGGAGTGCCTCGCCTCTTGCCATGCGTGTCAATTTTTCCCACGGCCAGTGTAATCTCTTCCACTCCATTAATGGCAGGACACGGCAATGGTTTACCTTCCCATTTGTCTATGCTCTAATGGATGATCTCTCTCTCTTCTCTCTCCATAATATTAGCGTTAACACTTAAACATTATATTAAATCAATAGTTACGATTTTTAAATACAAAAAAAACATATATCTAAAAGACGGCCACAATTCCAGCTTGGCATTGCGCCGCTCTTCGGGCAAGCGGTGTGGCGGAAGACGTGCAGCGATGGGGGAGCCGTGATTCTTTTTCGACATTTGTGTGGCACGACGGTTTTTCCTTCGCGACAAGTGCCCTCATACTGCTATTTTTTTCTTACACTAATCAATTTATTCCATCATATTAAAGATAATATATGTAAAGTTTTTATATTTTTTAACTTTCTTTAATTTCTGTACCAAATTAAAACAGGAAAGAAATTTCTGTAAGGAGAGAGTACTTTCTACTCTAACGAGGTGTACCCTAACATGGGGGTTGGCGACCTTTTATTTGGCTTTCTGCGCTGGAAAATTCGTTCACACTCATTCTGAATATTCCGTAAGACCGTAACGCAGTCAACTGTTGTGGTACGTAATTGGCAACCGTCTTTATTGACTGACGGCCGACCTCTAGTTGTGACATATATCTGGTCTTCTTCGTTCCCACACGTAATTCCATTTAAAACCTCCACGCAAATTCTATCACTTTTTTTTTTGGTATATATAAATTCTTGTATATATTGCACAAAGGGTCTGGTTTTTATACACAGATTCTTGTATATATTGTATTGCACGTAAAGAAATACATGGAGGCGCTTTTGAGTCCGTTCAAATCGAGCGGCGGCCGGATTAGGAGGGCGTGGCGGAGGAGAGCTTACAGGCGCGTGGACGGAGCCAGGAAGAAGAATTTGAGAGTTACGAGGTTTGGCTCCAGGCCGCCGAGGCTGCAGTGGAGGAGGGTCCTGTCGCCGCCGGTGAGGCTCTGGACGAGGCTCAAGATGATGCTCAGTTTCGCCGGCGGGAGTCAAACCTCCCGCCGGGAAAGGTTGACCGGCGAGAACAAGGCCGACCGCCGTTCGTCAAAGATGGGGTATACCAAGACAGAGTTCGAAAACAGGTTGATATATGAGATTTACAAGTCGGTTGTGCCCTCCATGGAACTATACCCCAATAAACCCATGTCCCCCTAACCAGATTTGCCGACAAAAAATCATACAATTGTACTTGTGGCACGCAAAGCACATACTGTTTTGTTTGTGTTTTTCTTTTTTGTGTGGGTGAAAATGCGACATTGTTCGACTATGTAAACGATATAGTTCGATTTTGTGAATAATATAACGAAATTTATTTTGGAATGAATGAAGTATTACCATTTCATTCATTGAAGAAGAGGCAGTTGCATTTTCTCATCAAATAGCCTTTGTCTTGCTTCCATTGCCTGTTTTCCCCAAACCACAAACCCAAGTCACTAAACAGGCTGGCTAGGGTACAACTAAAACTAGAAATGGACTTATATATAGTTCAAATCACTCATAAGGCACAAACCTGTTTCTCCCAATTAGTGAAGGCTGTGATGAGGGAAAAAGCGGTGGACTGAACCAAAGACCCGGCGACCAATCCGCCCCACAGGCCCTGCCCTTTCAGGTCAAAAACAAAACCAAGCAGCAGAGCCATAGGGACCCCAACCAAGTAATATGACCCGAGGTTCACGTATGCCCCTAAACTTTGCCACCCGCTGCCCCTAGCAACCCCAGAGAGCACAGCTTGCGTGCCATCCAACATGATGGATAGGCACAGCAGAGGGACCATCTCTTCCACGTACCCCCTCACTTCTTCCTCATAGCTGAACACGTACCCCCACACGCTCCGTAGGGAAAAGAGGGCCCCACTCGCGAGGACAAACTCCGCGGCAGATAGAACCACTACTGCCAAGAGTGCCAATTTCGCTGCCTCGGGCTTATCACCTCCGAGGGCATTTGAAATTCGAACGCTGGTGAAAAAAGAGTGACATTGTTTAATGGATAGTAATGTATGGTTGGATTGGAGTTTGAGAGCACGGGTGAGAAAGATCGAACCTTGCAGCAGTAGCGAAGGAGTATGGAATGTGGTAGTGTACCGATGTGGTTGTAAAGCTGGTTCCCCAAGGTGAAAAGAAAAAGAAACAAACGGTTAGAATATAAAAAAACACACAAGCTTGAGCTTTTGGTTGCGTTGATTTCTACAGGTAAAATGTACCCCAGAGTACCAAACCAACAACATATAAAATCATACTCAAAACTACATTGGAATATCCATGAAGCTAACCATCAAGAAGCATACCATATTGACAACACCGAGGTCTCTAGTTTCGGGTTTGGCAAAATTCCAGATAACAATACGATCAGCTCAAACGACCACCATTCCAGACTAGGACAACATACATATCGAGAAGAATCAAATTAGAATTCGTTAAGAAAAAAACAGCAGAGGGAATGGCAAAGTGACAAGTGAAATGGGTTTTGTGTCAATTACCAGACCATTACAGCAGAGGGAATGGCGAAGCGAAAGAAGTCACCCATCGTGGAATAAACATCCCTGGAGAAAGCAGGGCGGCTTCTCTCACAGGTCGACGACTCCTTGGCGTACGCCAGAATCAAAATCACATTCAACCAATAGGAAAGACCGATTGACAGTGCAGCTCCGGCAATCCCCAAGTTTAGCCTGAACACAAAAGCCCAACACACAGGCAAGTGGAAGCACAGAGAAGCCACGGAGCTCCACATCATGGGAACAATCATGCTCTGCACCTGAAGGTATCGAACGAGGGACTGGAGAATGGCATATGGAAAGAGAGTGGGTATGAGCCAGGTGGCGTACTTCCCTGCCTCTACGGCTATGGCGTGGTCTTGTCCTATCAAGATCAACAAGTTTTTGGTGAACAACCAGAGGATGGAGACCGGAATGCAGACGAGGAAGAGGCATAGAATGGAGCCCAATGTGAACGTCCCTAGTTTTCGATACTGTCTTGCTCCGTAAGCCTGCCCACACAACATCTCCAACGCGCTCGACATTCCATACTGTTATACGAGTCTTTGTGTTTCAGTAAGTTTAGAAAGTATGCACGAACATACATACATACATACATATATATATATATATATATATATATATATATATATATATATATATATATGTTACATCTAATGCAATTAAAACAAAAATATGCAATGCAAATTTTTATATAGTGTTGATTAGTATTAAGGTTCGTTCAATTTGACTGGAAAAAAGTAATAATCTCTCTGTCACACATTAATTTTCTTGACTGGATTTGTCACAAACTTTAAAAAAAGCCAAATTGGAAAAAGCTCTCTAGAAAATGAAATAGAAGGTTTTTCGGAAAGGAAAAAAAAGAGATTAAAAAGTTTTTTGAACTTTTAAAAGTAACACGGATTCTTCATGAACTACAAAATTTGCATCAATACACACGCTGAACTTAAAAAAATGTTGCAAGAATGGCTAAAAAAAACTGGGAGATTAAATATGTCTGATTAAAAAAAGTCATAATAAAAGATAAGGGATAAAAGGCGGACAAGAAGACTGTAGCCGGTGACGCTGCAGAGGGAGGTGGCGATGGAGGCGGAGGAGAGGGGCAGCTCCCCGAGGTGTCCCAACATTAGCATTGGAGAAGTGCGGAGCAGATACTGGGACACCGTGACCACTATCATCGGCAGAGCTATGTGATTCACCTCTTTCACCTCTCGGAGGAAAACCTCCCGCCGCGCCGCCGGTGCCGCGTTCTCTGGCGCCGTCGACGATGGAATCACCGCTGACGTTTCCTCCATCGCCGATACTCTTTTTGTTCTTTTTTTTTCCCTTTTTCACGTGTCCATAGACGTTTTTTGTGGTTATTGTATGTAGGTGTTTTTTATGGCAATTTGTTTGCTTCTTCAGTCATTCATTATCTGGGCCAAGGTTGTTCTGGTTCCCCAACCCAACGGCCAGATTATAGCCTGACACCGATCATAGATGGGGCTTCGTGTCTAAAAGACTAAAGGCATACAAAATTTAAAGATTAATGGTGCATTTTTTAAAGTTCACACTCATTTTTTTTAAAAAGAAATTTATTACTCCGTAAAAAATATTTCTCTAAATAGTATTAAAACATAATGACCTTTCTAATAAAGTATTATATATTTTTATTTTCTAATGTAGTATCATTGTTCAATGTCCGCTGGTCATTCTTCAAATAAATGTCCACTGCCACTGGACATTATTCAAACTAAATATACACCATCGTTGGACATTGTTCTCGCCACTAGACATTATTCAAACAATATTAAGAAAAAATAAAGTTAAGTACTACATTGAGAAAAAACATGCTATATGTTTTAGTACTATTTAGTGTAAAATTTGCTTTATTAAGAGTATAGAGACTAATTAATGATGTACTCCGTATCATATAAAGTTTGAGAAGATGAAAACAAACACTTTAGGAAGGGTTCAAGAATAAATGACATAAAAACTCTCTTTTTTAAGCCAAAAAACTAATTCAGAAACAAGGTCAGGGGAGTGTTTCTCAGTAAACACCAAATTGTGACACAACACTACGCAGCGCCATTACGGAATCAAAACAAACCATTTGCTGGTTATAATCATCAATATAAGAGCCGAAATAAGAACCCAAACATTAAGATTCATTGTTCTTAGGTCATGTGTTATGACGGGCTTGATGATGGGTGTAATAAAAAATGTATGTTATCGTAAGTGTGAATGGATGTAATGAAGTGTGAATGTGTATTAAATTTTGATTGATTGAGGTGAATATGTGTTATATTATAAGTGGTTGAATAAAAAGAAAAAAAGGAGAAGCAGTCACCACGGCGGGACTAACCATCACCCAACAAGGGGCCATGCCCCTTCACAGCAGGGGCAGCATGGTGAAGCAGCGTGAGGGATGGTGAAGCACGCCCTATAACAAACGCCCTTAGTAGAATTCACTATATTTTTTACTTAGCATATTCATTATTCACATGATAAAAAATAATTAATTAAAAAATGTGGAAGGAAAGTTTGAGAAATGGTGATGTGGAAGAGAGGAAGGTTGCATTCTGTTCCTCTGATCCAATTTTTTGAAGATGTTTGACCTGGTCTAGTCTAATCTAATATGATTGTAATCATATTTAAAATTATTTCTGATCTGATCAAATTCTAATAAAAATAAATAATAAGATGAAAAGGGGCTCCAGGCCATAATCCATTTAGTAGAACGGCCTAGAACCCCTTCCAAATGCTTGTGATCCTTCGCCGTGCGAAAAGATTTGATTATTCCTGTAAAGAGTTCAGTTTGATGGGAGCTAGCAGCTGCAGGTGCATAACCACCGACTTTGCACTAAAAAAAACCTTGAATATCTCACATTTCGAAAAATGGAAAGAACAATCAATGGCAAATAAAGGAACTAAGAAGAAAGAAAACTACATGAAGGGCATGATCCCCATTGAACAACTATAAGCAACTTGCCAAGGAAACGAAAAGATTCAAGTTCAAAGCATACCACACCCGATTGGTGGGAGAAACACACAAAAAAAGAGTTTAAATGGCATGTCTTCACGATGGATGAACAGCTTCATCAGAATCAAAACCAAAAAATGTCAGATGAAAGAACGAAGACCAAACGGTTACTGTTCCTGTCCAGTGGGCTGATCATCAGGTGGAGGGGGGGCTTGTTCAGCATCAGCACTTTCACTATTCTTTTCGGGGTGGAAATTAATGGGGAACTTCGTGACTCTAGGCTTATCTGAAAGTATGTTTCTCTGAACCCTGTCAATTTGCACCTTCGTTGGTGGTTCTTCTCTTAGCTTATCATCATCATAGTCATTGTTTATGTAGTATCCAACTCGTAAAAATTCCTGGTTCAAGTACGAGCAGGTCAACAGGAGTACAGTCACACCGACTATATCTTCTTCTCGGATTTTTGACGGATCAGGAGGGTCTGCCTGTATGCACACATAAGATGAACCATGGTGTAACTAAAGTATGCTAATGAATGAGCCTTCCATGTTTTGCTTGCAGTGGAAAAATAGGTCATACCTGCAGAACAAAACGGTAGTTTCCAACATTAACTGGCCCAACAAGTACACTTTCAAGAAGTTGATCATAGGTTTCATCCTCAGCCGATCCAACATAAATGAGCTTCCATTCCAAATCTGCACAGCAGCAAATAATAAACAATTCTCAGGCAATAGTCAAACAAGGTTCCATCTAATACAGGGGAAATAGGGCAAGAAAATGGAATATCGTTGGAGCATTGTTCACGGGTTCTCGTTGAATAGGTAATTGCCAATTGAATGCGAATGCAAAACAATCCAAAAGCATGCTGAGCTATGATCTGCTCTAGTGCAGGAGGGAACTCTTTTCACAGAACCAATTTAACAATGCAGAGACAAGCAAAATATGTTTTGCCTCATGCTTTTTTCAATTGGGCAAATCCAAAGAATCAAGGCAAAGATCAATACTCCTAAACACGCTCACTATAGTGTCTCCCAAATATAATCACATTCCTCTAGCAACAAAACCTAAGAAGCATTTTGACAAAGAGAGTATTTCTGAATCCCTAAACCCTAGAAAAGAGACTCAACCTAACGCACCTAATTAGTAAAAAATTATGGACTAAATCACTTCAATTCCTCAACAAAATCAACCATCAATCGAAATGGAACCAACATTACAAATAAAACATGATACCCATAGAACCCTAACCCTAGCTATCGAAGCCGAGTTTCATCACCACACAACCCAGCAGAAACATCAGGACATTTCCAAAATCAAAGCAAGGAAAAGGAAAGAAAAAAATCAAACGCAGAGAAAAATGATGGAGAAGTACCTTCTTTGAGGGAAGCGACGCACTCGTAGGAGATTTCAAACCGGAGAGGGGTCAGAAACGGCGCCGGGTTGTCCAACACGGCCACGTTACAGATGTTCACTACACTCATTGCGACGGACCTGCCACAGCTGCCGGAGAAGTCGCAAAGAAGGCGGCGCGTGTTCTCGGAAGCCCTAGACTGCGATTCCTTGAAGGGGAAGCTCTGATTGAAATGGAGTCACTGAAGAACCTTCGAGGCTTCTGAAGGGAGAGAGAGCATTTGAACAATAAGAAGACGGCTATGAGTGGAGAGACCGGGAAATTTTAGTTGCGCTCAGGCGTATTTATAGTTCCCACCGGGACCGCGGTTCGATTACGGGCGATCGCCGGTCGATTTAATTGGCGGGAGTTGGTTTTTTTAACTACGAGTATTTCGGAAGAAATTGCTTGGCCCAAACCCAAACCCAAACCCAATGGATGGGTATCGTCTCTTTAGGCGAGTGTTTGGGAGGAGGTTTTAGAGGGGGGAAGGAAGGAGAGGACTACTATAGGTTTCAGAGGAGGCTAAAATAAGATTTTCATTGTTTTTATACCGAAATAGGATTAATAACACCAATGTGCGTAAATTTATAAGGATAATATACTATGTCGAATTATAGCACTGTACAATGACAACTGTCTGAGAGAAAAAAAACAAAAAAAGTTATGTTCTGATATAAATTTAATATTTTAGTCTTATTTAGATAGATTTTTTTATTATTTATTTTACATATTTAGAAAGTGTTTGGGAGTGATTAACTTGTGGATAAAATTGTTTACACAAAAGTTCAAAGTAAAAACACCTCATAACTGCTTCTCTGAAACGGTGTTCCATGTACAAAATATTGTACAAAAAACCAGAAGCTGACATGCCAAACAGAGTAAAATCACTTTCACTCAAAGCAGAAGCTAAATTCTTAAAAGCAACGCACTGCCAAACACGACTTTTTTTCTTTTCTAAAAAATAGCACACTCACTTCGCATAAAAATAAATCAATTCTATTCCATTCACTTTTTAAAATATACCAAATAAATGACTAGCCAATACATACCTAACATCTAAGGAACTAAAGAAGCTCACAAGAAGTGGCTTTAACTTTGAAAGCATAAAACAGCTATAAAAACCATGAAATGGTACAATGAGGGGGGCAACATACATGAACTTTCCAATCTCATTAATGAATATGATGTCTTGCTCTTTTACATCTTTCTATACACTACAAAATTACACATTACATTACACACCTAGAAAGAAACCTAACATGTGAACTAAACAATGATGACTATGTTACCATTTCCTTCAACAATACCATTTTAAATTAGCTTTCAAATGAGACTCAAAGCATCCTTTTGCAAAAATGCAAGTTTGCCTATGTCACACCCTTATGTAGGGATGTTTTGTGCACCAAACTGCTCTTTTTGAGATCGGAAGATCAAGAATGCGATCGCGTCTTCTATATTGGCAATTCATTTCCTTCTTCTAACACAAGCACGCTAGAGAGATGGCCACGATCCTAGCAAAGACATACAGAAAAGAGGCACATTAAAAACTGCTCGTCGTGTAAGAGAGGCTGCTTCCAAGAGACTTTCAGATTAAATACAGAAGTACGGGCAAACAAACCACAATTTTTTCTAATAATAATTATTAATGACCGTATTATACAATTAAAGAATCATCTTGACTAGCTTGTTCTGGCGAAAACGTGAGAAATATCAATACTACCCTCACTCACCTCTGCATGTTGTCTCCGTCGTCTCACCGCGGTAAATGCCTTTACTATTACATAGATTGGCAACAGAATTCCAGCAGTTCTAAGTACCAATAACTGCAAAAACACATCCATTTCTCACTATTTTTTAGTACCTATAGTTTCCAAGATTGAATGTCTCATTTGAGAATAATATGTTATGATACAATCCATGTTACAATACTGATTTATTTTCAAACTATATATGTATGCATTTATATGTGTGATTTTAAAATTCAAATTTTGGCACCCAATATTTACCAGTATAATAGGAAGGGAAAATCATGTACCACTTACTATGAACAATGTAACTGAGTAATCCCCAGCACCATAAACGATGACCGGTAGAGTATGACGTAGCATCAGAAGCAGCAGAAACTGCATTGAGAAATTAAAATTTTATTCACTCGCAACGAATAAAATGGTATTTTTATCTCAGTTCATAGTGGTGGCGGTGGTGGGTGGGGTGGGGGGTACCGTTATAGCCACAACGCGGCAACATGTCAAAGTCCTTGGAGTGTAGCCAGAATGATCTTCAAAGTTTGGGTCAACAAAGTTGTGTTCTGTAGAAACCACTGTTATGAATGAATTACTCTGAAGGTCTCTCTCAGAAATATACCAATTTTCTCTACAAAAACACAAAACAAATCAAGAAAATACGAAAAGGTCCTTTATGAGATAGGAGCAATTCAATGAGAACTCCATCAGTTAAATATATAGTACCTCAAGTTCAATGGAATCCCACTATAATGGAACAAAGCAGGTGGTGATGTATAACCTGGCTTGAATTGCTACAAATAAATAAAACTAAGTTTAGAACTTTTTTAATTTTAAGAAATAAAATATATTTTTTGGATCAACCATGTTGAGAAAACAGGCTTGGCTAACCTGGTGGCAGATTTCACACACCGTGTCTCCTTTCTCATTACACCATCGCTGCACACACCTGCGGTGGACATACTGCACATAAATGTTAAATTTGCATAAATTTCAAATATGATTTCAAGCCTCTCCAAGTATGAAGTGTACATTCAGAGGAATTTGATTAGTAATAAAACCTTCAAGCTTCCACGGCAAGAGCACGGCATTTCCATGTTTAAATCTTCATCCTCTTCGTGGCAAATCCTACATTCTACAAGTGTTCTTGGTGATGAACCCGCTTCATCAATGTCCATCCTATGGGAACTAAAATCAACACTGGCATCTTCAAAAGCAGCGGCTGGCGAGAGGTTTTTGCTCTGAATAACGGCTTCTAGGGTGGAATCAGTCAGCAACCAGCCCACCGGTAATGCAAAACGGTCTCCCATACTTCACCCGAAAAATACGCCTTAAACTAGCTAGACTTCTTTAAAGGCCACCATCAGTTAAAATTCATTCTTCTTAGCTGGCTTTTTTAAAGGCACTTGGTTCCAATCATGTGTTAACCTGAAATCCAAAGACATTTAGGTTTTTTTTAATCTAGCTGAAACATTGGTTAAAAAAAAACAGATATAAAGGGTGATAGGAAGCAAGTTTTGAAATAAAACCAGAAAAAAGGGAGCAATTTATGAACAATGCAGCAAAAACCAACCAATCCACCATTTTCCCAAGAAAAACAAAATTAAAAAAAGCACCTTTTTTGTTCTTGGAGACACCATTTTCCCAGAATGACAAAATGAGAGGGACGAAGATTGAAATCTATCAGGGAATACTTACAAGAACATTTGTATTTGTTTCCAAGACTCAATCTTTCAAAACGGGTACCCATGAAACCGATTCCATTTCCTGAAAACGGGTCAACCCGAACTCTTCCGCCATTAATAATATTAAGAGATCACAGATAAAGTGCAGAGAATGTTACCCTTTTCTTCATGTCTTCCACTTTCTAAGCGGCCATTGAAGAAGAAGAAGAAGAAGTGGAGAGAAATGCTGCCCGCGAATCCTGCCCACTCTCTATCTTTCCCGAATTTATCGGTCTAATTCTCTTGGACGTGGAATCTGGTCGTCTGCATTTTTTCTCTCTTTAAAGAAATGTTTGGTCAATGATCTGATTTTTTGTGGGATTGTTTTATTAGTTTCTTTCTCTCTGTGATTGAGAATTCATGAATTCTACATTGGGTGGGATTAGATAGATCATGGAATTGACGCGCATGGAAATGCCAAGTGAAAAGAAAAAGGGGAAAATTAAAATATAAAAAAACTCAGCCTTCATTAACGTGAAGGTCTTACACAGCATTTGTATTTTGTAGAGCACAGGCAAAGAGTGGGCAGACTATAAAATTTAACAATTTTGGTGTTCCATATAAACCAAGCGAAATTTTCGTTTATTAATTATTTTAAAAACTTTAAATCCAAACCGTCAAAAAAATTAAATTTATAAAAATAACTTAAAATAAGAGTAAAACATACATAGTATTATTCTGCATTCCGTGATATATGTTGTTATTATATACGGAGTATCTTATTTTGTATCGTTTCAATTTTATAGGACGTCTCGAAGGGATAAACATTACTCGTATATCTTATTTTGTCGATACAAACATGGAGGTCATATTTTTGTCTTATATTTTAGTCCAATCATTTACCGAAATTCATACTTTTGCCATCTGTTTATAGCTATGGCTTGTGATTTTTGCAATAGCAATTGAAAACACTTCCTTAGTATAGTACTATAATTAAATTTTTCTTGATTCTTTGAATTTTAGGAATTCAACATACTTCCTTTTCCCTCCAAAGGAGAAGGGGTGTGTTCACCCCTTTGGATAGACGTAGAGGATCCAAATTTAATGAAAATTTTGACGATCTAAGTTCTCAGTTGGCTAAAGAATCTCCAATGGTGCAAAATTACCATCAAACCAAATTGCCTCACTATTATCAAGGAGTTCCAACGGCCTCACTTCTAGGATCTCTTAGTTACTTCTTATGGAGTATGTTATTAATGCTTGTAAATTCTTAGCTCTCACAATATAGACATATATTTTATTTACTTTTATTTTTCGTTCAACAAACACAGTTGTTCATGTTTTAGCTCAGAGAACTTATTCTCATTTAAATATAGGGACTTCACTTAACATCTGCCATTTTTTCTAACCTTCCATTTTAGGAATGATTAACTCTTTCATTTTCCTAAAAAAACTAGAAAATTTTTTTAAAAAAATACCCCATATACTTGTAGATAAATATTTGGGAAGAAACATGATACAAATAAATCATTCAAATATGTTTTTTACTCAATCATGTCAACAGCTATGCATAACTTATCTCAAAAATTCACCCCTATTTGGCTCAATCCACTACTTATAACAAAATGGCAACTTTGCCTTTTCACCTCTCTTTCCCTTTTATAAAGATCAAGGATAAAAGCTTGTTCATTTCATCTAAGAAAAAACCTTGAGGTAACTCAAGTTGCACCCCACTTTTGACCTCAATACCTTTACAGACATCACAAACACAGAACAATGTTCTGTGTTTTGGGGTCAAAGGTGAAGTGCAATTTGGGGTACCCAAGCATGGCTCTTACTATAAAAATGGTGGATATGGTCAAATGAGGACTGGAAAAGAGTTATTTCTTTACAAAATTGGAAAAGGGTTCTGAATCACTTATCTTACAAGCAATCCCTCTTTGTGGGGACAAAAAATAATGACACAAAGATTCTATTGGCAAGCTTTGGTTCTCTATGAGAAACATTATTGCAGAAGAAGAAGAAGAAGAAGATCAAACCAGACCTCAACTTCAAGAGAGCAGCAGTTTGAAATAAACAATCATGTATATAGAAAGAGACAACAATGCAAGCAGATGCTGCCAGAAGAGAAGTGCAGAAGCTTCGCTCACAGAATATCCTCTCAGACGAGCCACCGCTCCCAACAGGATAGCGGTGGGAGTCGTGTACTGCAACAGGAGGACAAAACGGTACATTTTGTTCTCGGGGATCAAAATGTCCGCCTTGTCCGCCGCCAAAACCACCCCGATCCCCAGCGCGGGTAGCACCAGAAGCCTCGCGACAATCACGCCGATTGTGGTCCCCACGCCGAGCCTCGACTCGTTGGGGCCCTCGGCTAGCATTGCTCCGAGGATGAGCATCACGGAAGGAACCATTGCTTGGGCCATTATCTCAAGACTGTCGGTTAGGAACGAGAGAGGGGCATTTTGGCCATAAACAAAAGATTTGAGCGGCGGGGTCATCCCGATGGCAAAAGCCAGTAGAGTTGCAATCATCGGTGGCTGAAGGACACGGTGGACCGGGGTCCGCTCCGCGACGATTCTCATTTTCCTTACCACGCGTGGCTCAGCCAAACACGTCATTGATCTGAGCTGTCTTGGACTCCCAGGATCTGGGATTGAGCTTTGGGAGATGTTGGAAACACTAGAAAAGATCCTGGCTATGAATGGGGTTTTACAGTGTTCTGTTTCATTTTCTTCCATTCCAGGCCACTCAGCTTCAACAAGAAGTGGCCTACTCAGATCATTAGCAGGGGGCAATTGTTCTTGAATCTCAGCACCTTCTTCCTCAACGAGTTCATAATACTCCAATGGTGGCTCCATCATCAGATACACGAGAGTATAAACAAGAAGCACCGAAACCCACTGGGAAAACGACACATACGCCACTCCATTGCTATGGCAGTTTGGGCCAAAAATGTTGTCCGCACTGTGGCAAACCGATCCAACAATCGCAAGGGAAAGATTCCCAGAGTTCCCAAATGCAGTAGCGATAATCGTGAACCTTTTGAACTCTGGGGGTGTCCTGCAAATCTTGGTCACCAAGAATCCCAAGAAACTGCCAATCACAACGCTTAAAATCACATTCACCGGTACGAACCACCAAAGAGTGAAGTTCTTGAGAGTGATGGCCTCGCCGAGGTGGATGAATATGGTGCAGGGCAAGAACAGAGCAAAGACAAGCTTGCAGAGAAGCTTGAAAGTGGCTTTGGGGACAATTTTGGCTTTTGGGTGTGCAAGAACTAGACCAATGACTGTCAAACAGATGAGCTTCAACAATGGAAGGATAGCAAAAGCCAGATATGCTCCTCCACCGCTGTTCATATTAGCTGATGAGTCCATATTCATTCAAATATATAAAAAAAGAGATCTTACATCTGAATAAAGATCGAATCTTCACAAAAATGGGTGCATAGATATTTGAGGTTACCAGATCAAGATTGGATTTTTAATTGTCGCCCAACAAGAACAGGTCTGGAAGTAAATCCTGGCAATACAAGATCGAATCTTCACAGAAATGGCATAGGGTCTCTGAATTTCAAGTTTATCAGATGAAGATTGGGTTCAACTTTCAGCCAAAAGAACAGTCTTTGAAGTAAAAAGGATTTAATTCAATGAATGAACGCAAAATTGAATTAAGCCCCAGAAGTAAATAAGGATTGCATATGAACATCAAATAATTATACGAATTATCGTTCTACCCGAGAGAGAGAGAGAGAGAGAGAGGAGACGTACTTGGGAGGATCAAACATACGTCGGTGGGAAATTCTATCCGCCTCAAATCAGCCACTACTCCCTTCGTCCTAATTCATTTTTACTCCATAATACTCCGTAATTTTTAAAGCTAAAAATCAAAAGAGTTGTTCTATCGTAATTTTGAATGTAAATTTTCTTTTTTAATAAAGGTCTAATTTTTTTATGATATTAATACATTAAGATTCATAAAATTAACATGCACATTAAGATAATGTAAGAATTTTCTAAATCCCTGAAATATTGCACTTTCTAATGATCTTCCCGGTTCATTTTACGAAGTTTGACCGACTTTATTTTCAATTCAATTTATTTGATTGTAGTTATAAAATTAAAAAATAAAATTTATATATTTAAAAACTACATCAAAAGTTCTACAAAACAAGTGGTGAAAAGACTATATTATTTTATCAAATACCTAATGAAAATAGGTAAAGAAAGTAATTAAAGTTTGACCGCGTAAAAAGTGTGTGGGAAGAACATTATAGGACGGAGGGAGTAACAAAAACAATTGTGAAACGTCAATATATGATGTCATATTATCACCTTTATATTTTGGAATGATAAGATATCACTTCTATTTTGGGATAAGAATAATGTTTTACTTCTATTTTGACTAATTTCTTTAAAATTTAAATTCGGTATTAATATAAGACTCTATAGTTCTTCCATCATAAAATAAATTCACAATTATTATATATTCTGCCCTACCAATGAGTTATGATTATTCACACATTTTAATTGGTTATATGATAAAGTAAAAAAGTTTTGTCGCATTGATTTTTATATAGAGTAAATCTTATCATACAATAGTTAAAAATATAAGGTCATGTTCTCTTCACCTGATATGAATGATTCTGATCTAATTATGATAAATTTTAATCTGATCTGATCTAAATATAGTTATATTTAAAGTTATTTCTAATCTGATCTGATTTCAATAAGAATAAATAATAAGTAAAAAATAAGTTGAGGAGAACATGACCTAAGTTGTATGTTTTATTTCTATACCAATATATCAATAAAATAAACCTACAAGTCTTGATAATTTGCATATACTTTTGGGAGTGCATCCATTTAAGGATGGATAGAATATATTTTTATCTTCTAAATAAGAATATTAGCATCACAAAATACTTTCAATTTGGCATTGCGTGTTAGTGGGTGTTTCTCTGTGCTAGTGTTTATTGGCTTATTGCTGATAATTAGTTTTTAAGTTATAAGTTGCTTATTACTCCCTCCGTCCCATTTTATAACGCCTGTTTCGGTTTACGATGTTTGACTGAAGTTATTTTTAAATCATTTTATATGACAAATGGTATAGAGTTAAAAAATAAAAATTACATATCAAAATACTACATCAAAAGATCTACAAAACTAGAAGTGACAACAATATTTTTGATAGACCAAAACCCCCCGGGTGTGTATTTTTTGGTCTATACGATATATGTATAAAATATGGAAAATATATCAACAAAAATATAGACAATAGACTTTTAACGTGGAAACCAAATCAGTGAAAACCACGGGCCTTTTTCGGCGGTACCATGCCAATGGGGATGTTTTATTATATATCAGGGGTATATTTGTACAACATATTGGTGTGATAGCCATTGATGGAGCTCGAAGCTCCATCGAGAAGAAGATGATGAACGGAGAGAATACAATATGTGTGGAATGTAGAGGGTGGCTCTCCCTTCTTCTTGGTTATGTGTCTCTTATATAGCATCAAGGTAGGAGCCTAGGGTTAGGGTTCCCTAGCGGGCTCCTTGCGTGGACCGGCCCAATATCTTTAATCAGGCCCAATGGATATTATCCCATCACAAGCCCCCCAGTTTCTTAGTGAACACGAAGTGTTGACTGAGAAACTATAGTCTGTCTTTGTCTATGTGAATTTCTTCAATCGACACTCTCTTGTACCGGAATCCCTTGAAGCTTCTGGCAGTGTAGGCATAAATCTTGACTCCTTAAGCTCCTCTTCTTTTAGTACCTAAGAAAGTTAGAAACATACTTGCCTCGTCGAGCGACTACGAAGTCTATGAGATGGCTTCGTTGTGTTTCGAGGGGAGGACTTTTAGGAACCTCAAAGAATGAGAGATTTGGTCGCCTCGCGAGGT